AAATGCTTTAAATGGTTTGCACGATTGGGGAAAAATAAATCCTACAAACATTGAAAGAATAATGAAGAAATATTATGAACTTGAAGACCATAAACTCAACATGTTAGATAAAAAAGATAAACTCCTCAAAAGACACAAAAACTTCTGACGTTCACATAAAACAAAATAGCTTGAGAAATTTTCTACGTGTTAAAGTTATTGAATTTGTAGTTTAAAAGCCTTCCAACAAAGAAAACCCCATAACCTTCATGGTTGGTTTGTACCAAACATTTAAGAAAGAAAAAATACAAACTTACAGAAAATGCAAGAATAAGTTGGGCACAGGGGCTCATACCTGTAATCCCAGCTGCTTGGGAGGCAGAGATTGGGAGGATCATAGAAGATGAAAGGGATAATCTAAGTAGCTCCCACACAATTTTTCTATAAGCCTGAAACTGCTCTGAAAATAAACTCTGTTTTAAAAAGCCAATCAATACAATTCAACATCTAATCATCTTAATAGAAGAAAGGAAGAAGGAAGGAAGGAAGGAGGCAAGGACGGAGGGAGAGAAGGAAGGAATAAATGTTGGAAGAAGGATGGCAAGAAGGAAAGAAGGAAGGAAAGGAACACCTCTCCCTGGGGCCCTGGGGCAGAAGTTAAGCATTGTTAGAGCACTATTAAATATCGTAAAAGTACTGCTAATGGTAATGATAAGCCTTTATTACAAGCACCTCTTTTAATGTTCATTTATGTTGAATGCTAATTTCCAATAATCTAAGATTTAGCTTATTTAATTGCCTGGGCTATTTGACTCCCCAGTTGACAGCTGTTAGACCCTTGTGTGAAGGACTATCAGCCAAGCAGCCAGCTAGATTGCCCTCAGTTCCATCTGTGGAACAGTCCACAGATGCCTTGAAGAAGCTATAGTGGCAAGCACAATAGCTTGCTGTAGAAGCACAATTCTGGCTCCAGAAGATACTATCTTAGCCACGACTGGTTCAAACAGCTTGTGCCAGGTCTTTTGCCATCACAAGCCTTGGTGAACTCTAGATGACCCTGCAGTCATTTTTGCCCAGATCAGAGGAGGAGCACTTCCCCTGGTGGCCCAGCAGAAGGTCTATGAATGGTGCAAATACAGGTCTTTCATTTGCATGAAGGGCTGTGCCATGGTTGATACAGTCCTTAATCTGCAGGAAGTTCTGCCATGATTGGTGCAGACACCCTTGCCACACTTTTTTCTGGCTATAAAAGCAGGCTGTTTAGCATATTTTGTGATTCAGCTGAGAAACACCCTCCTGTGCTGTCACCACAACCCTGGTTTTACAGTATTAGGCCCAATAAAAGGCTATTCTGGAGTAGTCTTTTCTTGCCTACTTTTGATCATTATCATCAGTGGAGTGTGTGAGTAACACAAAGATGGAGGAAGCAGTAATGGACCAGCAGCTACAGCAGCAGTAGCAACAAGAGGTCAGACAGGTGAAGAGTTCCAGCAAGGTTTGGGCAGAAATAATAGGGAACAGAGATGACAGAGACAATGAGGGCAATGAAGAGCTGAAGATGAGAAACTACAGGGCCTGGTTGCTGAAAGAGTTGCAGAGAACTGCCAAGCCTTAGGGAACAAGGGTCTCAGACACCCTGGGCGTGAGAGATGCAACAATAACCATTGTTAAGGATTGAGGATCCCAACACCCTAAGTCAAGAGCTGTAAATTTGTCACTGTAGAGTGGAGGGTCCCAGCCTCACAGGCCTGTACAAGAGGTGTAACACTAGAAGATATCACCTGCTGCTACTTGCTGATGTCTGCTGCTACCACGTACTGGTGCTGAAAGTCAAGGATTAGAATAGCTGCCAATTCCCAGGGTTACTGATGGTTACAGCACAGGGTAATAATTCTCCAACTTAAGTGCCTAGAGCTATAAGTGTCCAGCTTCTAGAGCAACAGGTTTTTAGCTCTCAAGGTTTGTAGCTATCATCTGTGTCTGCCAGTCCAGCCCATAGGCCTTGGGCACCCAAGGGCCTAGGATTGTCAACACTGGAAGAGCTTCTTCTTACCTACTATGATTCCTAACCAGGTAGAACAAAAGGACCCCAGCCAACTGATTAATAACAATTATACTTAACAATAAAAAAAAACCCACTTTTCTCCTAAGATAGGATACAAGACAAAAATATTTACTCTCACCAATTGTATTCAGTATTACACTGGGAGTCTGATTCAGTGCAACCATGAAGGAAATAAAAGGCAACAAATTGGAAAGGAAAAAATAAAAGTGTTTATATCAACAATTGACATAATTATCTACACAGACTGTCCAATTCTACAAAGGCTGCGGGGAGTAGTGAGTATAGTAGTGTGTAGGATACATGATCAAATAGATTCTGATATTAAATTTCACTCTTAGTACTGCTTATATCACTTCTGTTCTGTCTGTTTTGCTTGAGTAGCAAAAATATCTTGTGAAGGCTAGGTAAGTATTGTTATTCACATTTTACATGGCCAGTGATCCAGCACTTGCACACCTGGGCACATAGTCATGTGAAATAAAAGTTTTCTGCAGCTCCATTCATAAGCACCAAAAACTGGAAGGACTCCAAATGTCCTTCAATAGGTAAATGTACAAACTATGGTATAAATAACACAGAATAGTAGTCAACAATGAAAAGGAATAAACTACTGATACATACAATGAATCTCAAAGACATTATGCTGAAGGGAAAAAGCCAGTTTCAAAAAGGTTCATTTGATATGATGTGTTCTGCATCTCAAACCACAACATGAAATGAGATTACAAGGAGAGAGAGGAAGTTAGCAGTTGCCATGGTTAAGAATGGAAAGAGTGTACCACTACAAAGGTTTAGCATGAGAGTTATTGAGGGCGATAAAAATGCTCTGTATTCTGATTGGGATGTGGTTACATGAATCTTTTACCTGAGTTAAAATGTTAAATGTACACTAACTGAAAGTCAATTTTACTGTATTTTAATTTGAAAATAAAATTTAAAAAGCCAACTTACTAACAATAAAATGAACACTAAATAAAAATATTGAGCATGATGAAATCCCTTACCATACAGAGTTTAATATATGCCAATATTAAAAAAAAACTGAGATAGCACTACATACCAATTAGAATGACTAAAACAGTGACCATACCAAATGTCAATGAGAAAGTGGAACACCTGAAACTGTCATACATTGCTGGCAGGAATGTAAAATGGTACCATGAACTTGGCAGTTTCTTAAGGGAGACATACAGCTGGACACTGTGGCTATTCAACAAGGGGAGATTGGGAGGACCATGCTTTCAAGCCAGCCTCAGCAAAAAAAAGTTCATAAGACCCCATCTCAACCAATAAAAGCTGGGTATGGTGTCACACACCTGTCACTCCAGTTACTAGGAGGATCACAGTCCAGGCCAGCCTTGGCATAAATGCGAGACCCTATTAAAAAAATACATAAAGCAAAAAAGGGTTGGCTATGTGACTCAAGTGGTAGAACAACGACTGCCTAGCAAGCGCAAGGTCTTTAGTTTAACCCCCCAGTACTACAACAGAAAAGAAAAAAAAACTGAAACCAACAAAACCAAAACCTCAGGCTTTGAGGTGAAGAACAGAGTTGGATTTGAATCCAAAATTGTGTTTCATTCATTTCCTACACATAGTAACTGTATTATATAATTACTCACTTAAATTTGCTTAGCCATTTTCTGTAACTTATTTTCTTATCTCAGGCTTTTTTCCCTAAAGAGTTTTCAACTTTATTAGGGCACAGAATACACTGCTTTTTTTTTTTTTTTCCTGCCTTAGTTATTTTTCAAATAGGATCTTGTGTTTTTCCCCAGGCGGCTTCAAACCACCATCCTCCAAATCTCCACCTCCAGAGCGATGGCCCAAAGCCTGAGATCTTGTGCACTGTGGTGATGGAACAACGTAGGAGAGGTTATGAAGGCTGCGGCAAGATGTGGTCTGATGTACTGGAACCTCTTTCAACGCCCCAAACAACCCGCTCCGCTACTTGGCACGAATCCTGTTCAGAAACGCCACGATTAGAGTCAAATTTCTTTTTCTTAATTATCGTTTTTTGGCGGCACTGACGTTTGAACTCAGGGCCTCACTCTTGCTAGGCAGGCTCTCTCACCACACTGCCAACCATTTTTTGTGATGGGTTTATTTCGAGATAGGGTCGCAGGAACTATTTGACCGGGCTGGCTTCGAACTGCGATCCTCCTGATCTCTGCCTCCTGAGTAACTAGGTTTTGGTTGTGAACCGAGAGTCGCATGGGGACAGCGCCCGGGCCAAAGAGCCACTGAAAGGTAAACCTGAGGAAGAGCGAGGCCGAGGCGCCCGAGATAACTACGTACACCATCAGCCCTGGTGCAAGCCAGGCATGGGCGCACGAAAGCCACTTGCCCACGCCGCCAAGCGCCCCTGACCCATCTCCGAGCCCTCGTCCCTGTCGCGGATAGCAAGGACCAGGCTGAGGTAAGAGAGTGCGAGTCGTGATGGGGGTGAGGACCGCGAACACCCGGAGTTGAAGAGTCGCCCAAGGAAAGCGGCCAGAGCCACCCCAGAGTGAAGGGAACCGGAGGGAGGACGAACTGGGATTTCCCTTCCGGGGACACCCTAAAGAGTAGCACCAGGCTGTCACTTTTTCCTCACGTACTGATCGGGCAGGGGCTGCCCACGCTCTCACCTCACCTCTCCAGTTCTTGTACTCCGGAATATAGTAGTATTTGTTTCCGAGGTGGTCTGTACCCACAAGCTCCTTTACCTCCTTTGACAGCGCTCTCCACCAGGTGCGGAACAAACTCTGAGACCAACCCATGCTGGCCTTACAATTCCAGCTCCAGCCTCCGCGGGTCTGTGGCTCAAGGAGACCCCGCCCACTGGCCCGCCCCCTCCCCGCGCCCTCCTAGTAACAGCGATCACCATTGGTCAGATTGCCCATTGGTCAGATTGCCCATTGGTCAGTGCTTGGCCAATAGGAGACTCTGCTGTTACAGCCCCCAGTCTCCAACATCTGTCATGGTGGCATCCAGTGCTCGAGCTGGTATGAGCAAAGGCGATGCTGAGCTTTTTGTCCTCTCGACAAGCGGGTTTGGAGGATCCTCTCCGCTTTCGCAGAGCGGAGTCCACCCGGAGGTAAGGAAAACCTACCTTTTTCTCTAGCCAGCCAGTTAGAATCGGAGAGTTTGTGTCGGAGGGGACCATTGACAAAAGATGGAGGTGAAGAAGTAGTCAGAAGCTAGATGTAGAGCCATGTGTGCTTTGGTTCAAGTATGAAGATGGGAATAAGGTCACTACTGTTGTATTTTGCCATCGGCTTAGAGAATGGATTGAAGTTGAGAGCAAGAGTGGGAGGCAAGTTAGTTGCAGTTTTCCAGGAGAGAGTTGATGGAAGCCTGGGGTAGGGAGGTGGTAGATGGGATGAAGGGAATGAAGAGATTTGGGAAATATCCGAGAAATAGGAACATTCTGAGAAATTGATTGGATAAGTGAATGATGCAAAGGGAAGAGGCAGTCCTGATTCCCACACATGTGCCTTGTATAGGTTGAATATTGGCGTTATACTTTGAGTTAAGAGTTTCCGAAAGAAAAGCAAATTTTACTTTTAATTTGTCCATACTGTTTTTGAAGAGCCTGTAAAGATATTTACTTAGAGAGTGGAGAGCATAGTTATATATATGAATTCCATGCTTTGGGAAATTTAGTTTTCTTTAATGTGAGATGATACCTGAAATCATGAGTAGCAGATAAGATCATCAGACACTATCAGTAAGAGTAAGAAGAAAAGCACTTCAATGGTAATACCCTGAGAAACATCAACATTTAAGAACAGACAGAAGGGACTGCAGAGGAACTGACGGTAAGTAACCAGCAGGTAGAAGGAAAACCAGGGAGATGAAGTGTCATGGATGCTGAGGGAGTTCAGGAGAGAGACATCAAATTGGGCAGATGCTGCCCTCGCACCCTTCCTATGCTCTTAGTAGTTCTCTATCCCATTATCTGCTTTGCTTTTTTGGTATTATTACTACCAAAGTTGTGCTATATATATTCTTACTACTATATTGTCTTATTAACCCCTTAGAGGAAAAGGGAACTGTACGCTGGGCCCAAAACAGGTTTGGCACATAGTAGATCTATAATAAGTGTTATGTAAATAGCATATGTTGAATTAATATGAGGAATTAAAAGTGGTATGTTGCATTTAACCAACACAGTAATCACTAATGACCTTGGGAAGAGCAGTTTCAAAGAAATGATGGCAATAAAAAGATTTCAGTGAGTTGAAGAATAACAGAAAAGGAAATGAGGACTGCTAACATGAATAGCTTTTTCAAGAAATTTAAATTGGTAGGAAGAAAAACAAGGAGTACAGTTTGCTTGTTGACAAACTGATGGGTATGATTTGTTCTAATATCCCAAAGGAAGAACTTGACCATGCATTATTTATCATTAGCTGAGTAACAAAGTAATAATTAGTAGTTTAAACAACTGAAAGATTTATTGTCTCACAGGTTCAAGATATCAAAAATCAAGAAGTGTCTTAACTGGTTCCTTTCTGCTTCAGTATCTCTCACAAGACCACAATTAAGATAATGAGTGGAGTTGGGTATAGTGGTACTTGTGATCCCAGCACTCAGGAAGCAGAGGCAGGAAGAGAGTTGAGGCTGGGTTGTAGACGTATGGTGAGACCCTGTCTCAAAAAACAAAAGGCTAAGGATGTAACTCAGTGGTAGAGCACTTGCCTAGCATGTGCAAAGCCTTGAGTTTGGTACCCAGAACTGAAGAGAGAGAGAGAGAGAGAGAGAGAGAGAGAGAGAGAGAGAGAGAGAGAAAAGATATTGCATAGGGCTGTAGTCACCTCAAGAGATGACTCGGGAAAGATCTGCTTCAAAACACTCTTAAGTGGTTGTAGACAGGATTCAGTTCTCACTGGCTTTTGTATGGAGGTGCCCCCCGCCCCCCCCACCTTGCCATATGTCTCCCTGTAGGTTAGATCACAGCATGACAACTGGCTTTCATCAACACACACAACTAAGAGAGCAAGGTGAAAGCCAAAATCTTTGTAACCTAAGCTCAGAAGTGACATCTCATGATTGTTGTCATATTCTAGTCATTAGTAGTGAATCACTAGGTCTAGCTCACACTCAAGAAGAGGGAATTAGCTGAGGTCATGGACACCAGGAATGAGAGACCATCAGAAGCCCTTTTACAAGCTTCCTACTACAACTAGGAAGCAATCTTTTCCCCTGTTATTAGCTTGTGTCATTTCAATTGATACATCTTCAAGCTTACTCTCCTCTATCAGCTCCAGTTTACTATTGAGTCCATTCAGTTAAAACAATTTTATATTGACAAGTTCTAAAATTTCCCTTTGGTTCATATTTAGTTCTGTTTGTTTGCTGAGACAATGTGTTGTAACCTTTGTTTTAAGTGTGTTCACAATCTCTCACTTAAGCATATTACATGGCTGCCTTGAAGTCTTGATCACATAATTCCAAAGCCCGTAATAGCTCAGATTTGGCTTCTATTTTTTTTCCCATGAAAGTTGAAATTTTCTTGGTTCTTTATGCAGAATAATTTTGGTTGTATGCTGGACATTTTGAATACACTGTTAGGAAACATGAGATCTTGTTTCAGTCTATCAAGAATGGTATGTTTTGTTTTAGTAGGCAATTCAAAAGATTAGGCTTCGCTGCAAGTGTCCACATGTGTGGGCTGTGTTTTCAACATCAGTTCAGTTTTCAAGGTCTTTTCAGATCTGTCCTGGGTATGTGGTCAGTCAGCAACCTGAGTTGTGCTTAGTTTTCAAAATATTTTATATACTACTCAGGATTAGATCAAAACATGCTCCACTTAGGGATGATTGATATGCTTAACAGTTGCATTGAACATATTTTGTATTTCTACCTGCTTTTAAGATATATTTAAGGGAGTTTTTTAAAGTCCTGTCATTTAAGCTTTTATCCACTAGGTGTCCTCAGTTAAGTTTAAGTTAGGATTTTTTTCATGAAATTTTTGTCTCTAAATATCTTTTTAAAACTTAATAAAATAATCTTTAAATAAAATTTAAGGTAATGCTTCAGGGGAAAATTTTTACATGTAATTGGTAGTACTGTTGAGATTTTTAAGTTTATGGAAAACCTTTAAAAATATAAATACCTTTAAAAGTATGATAAGCATTGTGTGTGTGTGTGTGTGTGTGTGTGTGTGTGTTCACTATGTATAACCTTGGGAAAATAAGGTTTATGTTAAATTACTTGCTTATTGTTAAGTTTTATCTCTCTTTTTCTCCCTTTTAACTTTTAAAGGATATTGTCATTGGAGTTAAACAAAGACAGAGATGTTGAAAGAATCCATAGTAGTGGAGTTAACACCCTTGACGTTGAACCTATTGAAGGGAGATAGTAAGTTTATTATACTTATTACTTTTCTTTCTAAGTGAGATACAATGAATTCTTGCTTTTTTTTAGCTTAATTAGAAGAAATTTCATAAAAATAAATAAAAACTAAATTTTAGCATTTGTTAGACTGGCATTATTAATTTCAAATAAATACATAGCATCAAGTTTACAAAATGTTGCTAGGTAGACATTTCCAAACTACTTTAGCACAAATATATTCATCATTAAATCAATAAACATTGAACTTATTTTTGAATGCAGAAAGCTTTTAAATGCTGGGTTGTATCTTTAGGTGCTTTTTAAAAACGTGGGTGGTACATTCAAGGATTCCAATGGGAAGACAAATATCAAAAGCAAAAGTATATTTTTGGAGAACTAAATTTGAAGCAAATAGGACTTTATTTGAGTTTCTCCTAGCTTTATCACTTACCAGCTTTGTAACCTTGAGCAATTTACCTAACCTTGCAAGGTCTTAGCTGCCTTGGCTATGCAATGGGAACAATAATACTTACCTAACACATTTACTTTGAGGATTAATTGAGATAATATGTATAATCAAAAACTCACATGTACTTCTAATCCACCACACAATAGCTGAAGTGCTTTAAAAAAGCAAATCTGAATATATTCCCCTACTGATAACAAGTTCAAAGCCCTTTATATGGTCTATAATTAGGCAGTATATAAAAATAAAGAAAACAGTTTTTGCTATTTTATGGTTTGTTTAGCATTTGCCCTAGAATTTTTATTTTATAATGACATATTTTTACTTAAATTACAGTAAGAATAGGTTTAACCACTTCCATTTTTTCAGCTTCTGGAATGGTCTCACCTAATAGTTTATGAAAAACACATTCAGGGAACAGAATTCTCACTTTAGCACATTGTTAAATTTAAAGATGACCAGCCATAAAATTCTTCTCTTTCTTCTAACTTCCAGGCTCCACATAACACTTCCTGTTCAAAGGCAGCTGTGGGATATTCACTTATAAAATATATGCAGACATGAGGAGCAAGGGATAGCTGATTTCTTTTGGTCGTGGGTGCTGATGGAAAAAACATTCTCTGTTATTACTCCAGGCAGCCATTTGGCATAGTGATTGCTTGAGTGACCTGTGAAGTATATGAAGCCAGTAGGGTACCAGTTGGCAGAATGAGTAGGAAATCTGGGAAACTATAGGAGATATATATATACACATATATATATGTGAAATATGTTTGAGAACTGTAGGCAATTTTCAGAGAGCATGTATAGAAAAGTTTGAGGACTTGCAGTAGTGGTTAATTTCCCCTTTATTGTACGGGGGAAGCTATAACTATTTATTTCATTGTTGCTAAGACATATTTTGCATTAAACCCTTTCAGTAGCAAAGATGAAAGTGTCTGTTTAATTCCAAATTTTTATTCTTTTCCTTAAGAAAATCACTGTATATGTAATTTGTTCAAAATATCTGCTAATATTTACCATTCACCAAGAGTGCTGTAGTGGTATCACTGAATATAAGAATAGAAACCAGAATATACAAATCTGGTAAAGAAGCATTTGCTTCTAAAATTAGGTGATATTTTAAGAAAACTATCCAAAAGTTGCATTTAACAGGTTTAGCTGCAGAAGGTACATTTGTATATCACTCTTCTGTTCAAATTTTCTTTTATATTTTCTAAATTCTGCTATATTTCATTCATATTTAATTCAGAGTTTTCTATAGTAAAACGTAAAGCTATATTTCTTAATGTGGTTGCTCTGTTAGCAGAATATTTATCTAACAGTCAAATAATGTTAGTGCCATGAGATACTTCAAGTACAGATGAAGCATTTCTAGCGTCGTGGGAAAAATTTAAAAACAAAAAAACCCCCAGTATCTCAAGTTTTAAGTATGAATCAGAAATGTTTTGGGAATTCGTTATGGTACCATTATAACTCTCAACTGTGTAATATTTTATCAATCAAAATAAAAAGCTTAATTTTTAAAATTTACAAATATTTCTCCATATGTGCCATTTGAGTGACTGAACCACAAAGATGTTTAAATGAAGCTGGTGTTGAATATTTGTTTAAATGGCATTAGTTTGTCATCTGTCTTTGCTTCCCATAATCAGTCAGGTTTTAGAACTGTTTTAAAACTGTTGCCCTAATATTTCAAAACTAGCCAAAAGTCATTAGTTCTTCTTGGAAGAACTACTTTTATATCAGTGTAATTGTTCTGCAAGTTGGTATTGAATTTTTCTTAAAGAGGTCTATGAATCAGTACATGCTGCTAAGTCAAGAACTGTTGATAACTGGTTCACAACAAGATAAGGAACTTGTACCAGAATATAAATCTACTGCATCACTGAGCACACAGTTTAAAGGAACTAAAAGAGAAAGCCATGGTTGTTTCATGGAGACACATTACATTGCATAGCATTGCTCTATATTTAATTATATTTTGTTGCAACTTAGATGAAAATCTTTTAATCAACCTATTCAGTGATGCATTACTAAAAACCTCAGTTTGGGGGCCACACTAAGAAGATAACAATGTCAGTATTGCTTTAAAAATTACAAAATCAAAACCAGCGTACAATATAGTAAAATCAGGTCATGAAGTATCCCCACAAACCCCAAAATATGAATTAAGTGGGAATAAACCACTGATAACTACAAGATCTGTGTAGCATCAACATTTATGCAGTGGGTGGGGGGAGTCAGTAAAAAGCAATGGGATATCTTATACCTAATGAATTCAAAATAACCAGCAAGTTGGTTGGAAGCTTAGCAAGCCAATTTGATTACAGCAGCTGAAACTGGAAGAGCCTGGCATACTCCAATTATAGATAAGTTCAGGGGGTCCAAAGTAAGACTAGGAGCACTAAAACAGTCTAGCCACTGTAATCTCTCCAAAGAGTGAACCAGTCAAAGCTCCCTTACAGAACAGAACCCTATACTGAAGAGAAGTTACTTGTAATAGAATTCAAATTTAGCAATGCAGGGGCAATAGAAACAAAGAGTTGGTACAAATAAAAATTTGTCAGGTGGACAGAACCAGGAAATCTCTAAAAGCAAGCTGTCATATTTTGAAACTCTTACCAAAAAGCAAAAAAAAATTAAGGAAGAGGATTTTCTTAAGATATAAAATTTAAACATTATTCTTAACCTAGAAATCCATTCTAAAAAGTGTAGGAAAATTAATTTTGCATAAAAATGAGCAAATTGAATTAAGATCAAAGTCCATAAAAAAATTATCCTCAGAGCAAAGAGACAAAGAAGTAAAGTAATGCCACTACAGACAATGAAATCATACCAGATAGATACATGCCCATCAGGCAGATGAGACTGTTGCCCTAATATTTCAAAACTAGCCAAAAGTCATTTTAAAAGATATAGTCTATAAAAGAATTACAGAAACTAGATATAGAAAAAAAAATTCAGGAACAACATGATCAAACTCAAGAAAAAATTAGAAATAGAAGAAAAAATGTTCATAAATGAAGACTAAAACATAAGGAAGACAAGCAAATAAATATGAGTTAATATACTAGAAATAGAAGACAGAAAAAGTTAAAATTCAAAAAGAAGACAGGAAACATTTAAAAGGTACTTAGATGTATAGAATATATGCAAAGAAGACCCCGCATATAGATGATAGGAATTCCCAGAGAAGAATACCCAAGCAAGGAAGCAGAATAAATATTAAAACTATAATTCAACCAAACTATTTTACTGTTTTTCAGACCTTTTAAATAGGGGAAAGTCTTATTATCACCAGACTTTGACTTTGAGTTTTACGTCCAAAAAACAAACTTTTTAAAAATCTAAGCTATTCAAGGAATCAAGGATTTTATATTTAACCAAACAGATTTTAAGTCCAATAGGGCAGACAAATTGTCACTAACATACAAGAATTCAGAGTATTCTTCTCATTAGCCCTTCTTTAATAATCTACCAGAGATGGCATTAGAAAACCAGACTGAATAGAGGGATATCAACATAAGGATTGGTGGTGCCCAGTAGATTTGGCAAGTATTACTTTAAATATATAAATTGGTGGTCTAGGTACTGGAGTGGCTGCTAATCACAGCAGAAATCAATGACAAGCCGGGCACCTGTGTCTCATACCTGTAATCCTAGCTACTTGGGAGGCTGACATTGGGAGGATTGTGTGTCAAGGCCAATTTGGAATAGGGGGAGGAGAGTTCTGGAGACTCCATCTCAACAGAAAAAAGTTGGGCATTATGGCATATGCCTATCTTCCCAATGATGGTGGAAATATAAAAGGATTACATTCTAGGCTGGCTTGGGCAAAAGCAAGATCCTATCCCCAAAACAATCAAAGCAAGAAGAGTTGGAGGCATGACTCAAGCATTAGAGCACCTGCCTTGCAAGTGTGAAGTCCTGAGTTCAACCCTCAGTAATCCACCCACCCACCCACCCCTGCCGCCAAAAAAAAAAAAAAAAAGAAGAAGAAATCAGTTACCAGGATTATTTTGAATTAGAGCATATGAATTCAGTCATCAAAGTCCAGGCTATAGCTGGGCGTGGTGGTTTACAACTGTAATCCCCACACTCAGGAAGCAGAGGTAGGATCACCAGCCTGGAAGTTGCAGGAAGACTGATCTAGTTTTGCAACAAATAAATTGCTACAAAGGAGAAAAGTGGAGTGGGAAGGCAGGAAGAAAGCAGAATGGGACTCTATATTGAAGGTTTAAGAAATTAAATTTCTCTTTAAAAAGCAAAGCTAGTTTTACTCATGGATATACTCTTGGAAGTTGGCAGTGATTTCTACAAATATCACAACAATGAGTTGCCTTGAGAAAGTGGGGAGGCATTGTGATTTGGGGAGAGGTCTAATTGTTTGAACCTTTTTGAAGAATCTTTTGATGATGCTCTTATTGCTAATTGACTAAATTTATATCTTGTATAATAATGGAATAAAATTCAGAATGCCTAAGATTTTACAATATTTAAACTTCGTTCAAAAGAAACATAAAATAGAGAACTTGTTTGAGCAAGAGTTTTATCTCATAAAAGCAAATACAAAAAATAGTATTCTGAATGGAGGCAAAAAGACAAACACTGAAAATATTTAATCTTAAATATTTGCATATTTCAATATGTAAAAGAATAATCAACAATATCCTCCATTTTGTAGAATTTGCTGAGAACTTACCATGTTACTCACCACCTATGATTATTTTCTAAACTAAAAATATGACTTAGGAAAGCCAAAGGTGGCAACAACTTTAAGTTCAAAGATGATTTCAGATAATTTTATGGAAAAAAAGCAATAAACCATATTAAAAGCACAAAATTAAAACAATATAGTAGTACAAACTTAGGTGTAGGTGAGAAACTGATAAAAGAAGATAAAATACCAAGAATAATCTATTACAATGTTATTTTTGTAAATTAAGTTCAATTAGTATAGTTTTTGTTTTACTATAAATGCTTATATATTACTTTCATTTCTTAGAAATTTTACAAAGTTTTTGAATAATTTTTTGAATAATAAAGTTTTTGAATAATAGCTTCTACCAGTATAATAGCCCACTTTGAGAAATAATTGTTTCAAAAAAGTATATAATTTTCTAGCACTCTCTTTTACTCCCAAAAATAAGGTTCTGAGTGATCTGGCTCCTCCACCTCTCCTCTCACCGCTCTCCTTCTGTGCTTCTCAAGCAACTCATTCCTTCTTTCATTCTCTAGAATGAGCCTGTATTATTTTGACGCACTGTCTGGGTAACTCCAATTCCTCCTTCAGTTTAAATTTTATAATCAAAGAAACTGTCCTTGAATCCCCAAACTAGAATAAAGTAAGTTATTGTCACAAGGACCCTGATTACAGCTATTTGGTTGATTATGTACACTACGTGTCTTTCTTGCTAGACTATAAAACTCTGGGAGAACCAGAACCATGCCTCTCTTGTTACAGTTTATTAGCAGAATACTTTCTATATTTTAGGTGCTCAGTTAAGGTTGAATAAATTCATTCATGAAAGAAGGAAGGAAGCTACAATCAAAGGAACTGTGCATTTTGATCATCACATCAACTTTGTGATTTAGGTGAAAATGCCCTCCCCCATTTTTTTTTTTTTTAACAAATGTTGAAAGGTTTAGAGGGCTGGTGTAACTTGCCAAGCGTCAGATAGCTAGTGTCAGCATAATTGGTTAGTCTAATTCCATTTTCATTTAGCACATTTAAGACATATAAAAAACTAATGTTTTACTTAAGTAAGAAATGTCCTTTTGCCATCTTATTTCTACCATCTTTTCTTTGGGAATCATGAAGGCAAACTTTAAATGATCACAAGTTGAATTTTTCAAATTCAGTCTTCTATAAATATTGAGATAAGAAATTTTATTGAAATCTGTTGGTGAGAAATAACTATTTATGATCTTACTACATTTAGGTGTTTACAGATCAATTTTCAGATATATAATCATCATAAATAAGTGGACTTCATAAAGTGATTAATGTGAATTTTTTATTATCAGCATGTTATCAGGTGGTTCAGATGGTGTGATTGTACTTTATGACCTTGAGAACTCCAGCAGACAACCTTATTACACATGTAAAGCAGTGTGCTCCGTTGGCAGGTGTGTATTTGAAAATGTAACTAATGAATTTGTAAACAGTGTTTTTGCATCAAATGCAAATCATGAAAGTAACAGTCATAAGAGTGGCTTAAATTGTTTAAGTGATATAGTTATATCAAATTGTTCAAATGATACAGTTATATCATAGTTATATTGATATCCCTTTGATGCTTTCTTTAAAATTCAAGAATAGTTTTTCATGTGTCTTCCCAAAAACAACTTTGTATACATTTTCTGTTTTCTTTTTTTTATTATTGTTGTACTGGGGGTACATTGTGACATTTACAAAAGTCCTAACAATATATTATAGTTGAATTCACTCCCTCTGTCATTCTCCTGTATTCCTCCTCCCCCCATTCCTGGAATAATTTCAGATGGTCTCATATTTCCATTTACATATGTGTATACACAATTTTTGTACTATATTCACCCTCTTACACCCTCTCCCCACATCCTCCCCTGTCTCATTGATACCAGCCCCCGAGACAGTACCTGTTCTGCCCTCTGTTCTCCAATTTTGTAAAAGAAAAAAAAATTTTTGTTGCTTAAGATAGCTATACAAGGAGTTTCCTTGTGACCTTTCCATGTATATATGTATTATAATTCAAAATGGTTCACCCCTCTATTTTTCTCCTTTCTACCTTAGTCGCCTTCTTACGGTGATTTCAACAGGTTTAAAAATTCTATATTCATTCCTTTATAGGAAGTGCATCAACTATATTCACCTTCTTAACTTCCTTCTTTTCCCCTCCATCTCTTGTATGTGACCTCCCTTTAACACACATTGTTTTTTATTTGTATTAGGTCTATATTCCACATATGAGAGAAAACATGCAGCCTTTGGCTTTCTGAACCTTGCTAACTTCACTCAAGATGATGTTTTCCAGTTGCATTCATTGACCTGCAAATGACAAGATTTTATTCTTCTTTGTGGCTGAATAAAAGTCCATTGTATATAAATAACACATTTTTAAATCTATTCATCAGTTGTGGGGCATCTTGGCTGTTTCCATAGCTTAGCTCTTATGAATAATGCTGCAGTAAACATGGGTATGCAGGTACCTTTATTGTAATCTAAATTACATTCCTTTGGGTATATTCCTAGGAGTGGAGTTGCTGGATCAGATGACAGCTCTATTTTTAGTTTTCGAGGAGCCTCCATAGTGTTTTCCATAGTGCTTGTACTAATTTACATTCCCACCAACAGCATATGAGGATTCCTTTTCCCCCCACATCCTTGCCAACATTTGTTGTTGTTTGTGTTCTTGATGGTAGCCATTCTAAAAGGAGTAAGGTAGAATCTTAACATGGTTTTGATTTGCATTTTTTTTTTTTTTGTGACCAGGGATTTTGAGCATTTCTTCATGTGTTTTTTGGGCATTTGGACTTCTTCCTTTGAAAAAGCACTGTTCAGTTCATTTGCCCATTTCCTCATTGGGTCATTGATTTTTTGGGAGTTTAGCTTTTTGAGCTCCCTCTATATTCTGGCTATTAATCCCTTGTCAGCTATATAGCTGGGAAAGATTTTTCTCCCATTCTGTGGGCTGTATCTTTAATCTGGTGACCATTTCTTTTGTTGTACAGAAGCTTTTTAATTTCATGTAGTCCCATTTATTAATCCTTTCTCTTAGTTGCTGAGTCATTTGAGTTCTATTGAGGAAGTCATTGACTGTGCCTATCAATTCCAGTATATTTCCTGCTCTTTCCTGCACTAGCCTCAAAGTTTCAGGTCTTATATTAAGGTCCTTAGTCCACTTTGAGTTGATATTTGCACAAGGTGAAAGAGTGAAAGACATAAATCTACTTTCAGTTTTCTGCATGCAGATGTCCAGTTTTCCAAAAACAGTTGCAGAGGCTGTTTTTTCTTCATCATATGTTTTGGGCACCTTTGTCAAAATTCAGGTGGGAGTGGCTGGGTGGATTCATATCTGGGTCTTCTATCCTGTTCCACTGATCTTCATATCTGTTTTTATGCCAGTATCATGCTGTTTTTATTGCTCTGACTCAGCAGTATAGTTTAAAGTCAGGTATTGTGATACCTCCAGCGTTGCTCTTTTTGCTCAGCATTGCCATGGCTATTTGCAGTCTTTTGTGCTTCCAAATGAACCTTATGGTTCATTTTTCAGTCTCTGTGATGAATGACATTGGAATTTTGATGGGAATTGCAATGAACGTGTAGATTACTTTTGGTAATATAGCCATTTTACAATATTGATTCTGCCAATCCATGAGCATGGGAGATCTTTCCATCTTCTGTAATATTCCTCAATCTGACTCTTCAGTGGTTTGTAGTTTGCATTGTAGAGTGTTGGGAACCAAAAGCCACAGTCTGACAAGGTCGCTGTGGCTTAGCAGCATTCCAACAAAATTGGAATCTGCAGGTGCACCATGCCTCTATCACGGTGGGAAGGAACACTAAATGGTTTTCCTTGACTATAAAGAAGTTTATACTTAGTCAAGGACACTGGCAGTAGGAGTGCAGTGTGGAAAACACAGAAAGGTTGTAACTAGTCCAGAGTGTTTTTGATGTTTAAGTCTCTTCCTCTTTTGTATAAAGTTGGCTGAGAAAAAGGAAATTTCGCCAGTTGATCATCAACCTTCAGGCCCTCTCGATATGTGTTTTGTCATTCCCTTCCTGAGTGAGTGAGTCCTTTCGTATGTCCTGTCTTGTTCATTCCTTTCTTGAGCCTTTTGGGATCAAGGACCTCTGCGATCACAGCAGTAGAGGTCTTATTAGTGTATATTAATTGTACAAGGGGATTTCATTGTGATAGTTCCATATGCATATAATGTTCTTTGATCTAATTCACCCCCTTTTACTTTTCTTACCTCCCTCTCTCCTTTTTAAATAATTTTCATAGCTTTTTATTCTGTTTTCATACATGTGTCTGAAGCACTTTAATCATATTCACTTACCCTTCACCCTCTCCTATTGCCCTTCTCACTTGTCCTGGTTCCCACCCTCAAACAGTCCCCTATTTTACACTAGTGTCATTTGAAGTTTAGATTCTGCATATGGGAGAGAAACATGTGATAGTTGCTTTTTCAGTCTGCCTTATTTCCCTTAATATGTTGATATCCAATTTCATCCATTTTCCTTTCTTCTTTATGGCTGAATAATACACCATTGTGTGTATATACCACATTCTCTTTATCCATTTGTTCATTCCTGGATATGAAGACTGATTGTATAACTTTGCTATTATAAATAATACTGCTATAAACATGGGTGTGGGCAGGTATCTCTATTGTATGCTGATTACATTCCTTCAGATATGTGCCCAGGAGTGGTAAGCAGGATCTTGTGGTAGCTCTATTTGTAATTTAAGGAACCCCCATACTGATTTCTATAGTGGCTATACTAGTTGACATTCCCACCAAGAGTGTATGAAGATTCCTTTTTCTCTGAATCCTCACCAGCATTTATTCTTTTTTTTTTTTTCTTGGTAATTGCCATTCTGACTGTGCTGAGATGGAATCCTAGTTGTGGTTTTGCTTTGCATTTCTTTCATGCCCAAGAATGTTGAACATTTCTTCATGTATTTATTGCCCATTCGTACTTCTGTTGAGAACTGTCTGTTCAATTAATTTTGCCGTGTTATTAATTGGATGTTTGTTCTTTTACTGTTTAATTTTCAGAGCTCTTTATACATTCTGAATACCAGTCCCTTATCTAATGAATACCTGGCAAAGATTTTCTTTCATTCTGTAGATTGTGTTTTGCTTCTGGAATTTTTTTCCTTTGCTGTGCAGAGCTTTTTAATTTGATGAAGTCTCATGTGTCAATTCTTGCTCTTATTTCCTGAGCATTTGGAGTCGTATTCAAAAAGGGTATTTCATATGTCTTACTCTAGTAGTTTCAGTATTTAAAGTCTTACATTTAGATCTTTGAGCCATTTTAACTGATTTTTTATACAAGGTGAGAAATAGGATCTAGTTTCATTCTTTTTTGTGGATATTCAGTTTTCTTAACTCCATTTGTTGAAGAAGCTGTCTTTTCTCCAATGTATGTGGCATTTTTGTCGAAAATCAGATGGCTGTAGCTGTATGAGATTATTTCTATATTATCCATTCTATTCCATTGTTTGCACATCTGTTTTGTGCCAGTACAATGCTGTTTTTACTACTATGGCTCCATAGTATAATCTGAAGGTGGTGTTGTGACACCTTGAGCATTGTTCTTTTTGCTTATGATCGCTTTGGCTATTTGGGATCTTTTATGTTTGTATATGAATTTTAGGAGCACTTTTCCTATTTCTGTGGAAAATGACAATGGGATTTTGGTGGGAATTGCATTGACTATATAAATTGCTTTTGGCAGGATAGCCAGTTTTACAATATTGATTCTGCTGATCTGTGCATGTAGGAGGTCTTTACATCATCCAGTGTCTTCAGTTTATTTCTTCAGTGTTTATAATTTTTGTTGAAGAGCTCTTTCACCTCCTTTATTAGGTTTATTCCTAGGTATTTAGCTGTTTTTTAGGGTATTGTGAATGAGATTGTTTTCATGGTTTCTTTCTCAGCCTGTTTGTTATTGATATGTAGAAAAAATACTTATTTTTGTATGTTGATTTTGTATCCCACTACTTTGCTGACAGTGTTTATCAGATGTAAGAGTTTTCTGGTGGAGTCTTTAGGGTCATTTAAGTATAGGACCATATTATATGCAAATAGAGATAATTTGTCTTCTTCATTTCCTGTTTATCCATTTTATTTCTTTTTTTTGTCTTCCTGCTCTAACAATTCAAGCACTAAATTGAATAAAAGAGGAGAGAGTAGACAAGTAGAAATCTTGTTCCTGATTTCAGAGAAGTGTTTTCACTTTGTCTCCATATAGCACAGTGGTTGGCAATAGTCTTATCATACATAGCCTTTACTTGGTGCAGTATGTTCCTACTATTCTTTATTTCCTCAGGACTTTGATCGTGAAGGGATATTGAATTTTATTAAAGGCTTTTCTGCATCTACTTGAGATAATCATGTGATTTTGCCCTTGATTCTGTTTATGTGCTATATTTTGATTATCAATTCACATATGCTGAAACCAGCCTCGTATCCCTGGAATGAA